TTGACGAAGGGATAATAGTTCCACGGTAAACGAACGAATTTGGTTTTGTCATACCACGTGACATTTCCCGTCACATGTATTGCCCTGACACATTGCTAGATGTCAATCAGGGACGGCGAATGTGAATTGACGATAAATTAAAAGGGTGTATTAATTTATCAATTTTGATTAGATCAAAATAATATTTCACGACGTTAGGCATCGTGGTCGGGAACCTAATGGGTCGCACACAAAAGAGAATTGGAAGACTGCAAATTGTCAATTGATTAATTTAACAATCGTTGGATAAATTAATTAATTGAATTTGTTATTTATAATCCCGAATTAATTAATTGGATTAATTAATTCACGGACCGGGTTTGATTAATTGGATTAATTAAATATTTGACCGGATCGGGCCGGGTCCGTTTGGGTTTATATATATGTGCAGCTAGGGTTTGAGGTCCAGAAGTTATTCATTATTCTTGCTAGCACAAGAAAGAAACCCTAGCAGTTGCTGTCTACTCTCTGTGTGGATTTCATTGGAGGCTGGACAATTGGACAGCTGTGGGAGGCAGATTCAAGCTGCTGGAAAGGAATAACGCGAAGGAGTTTGCAAATCACAAGTAAAGGTATATTTTTCATCACAGTTTTTATCTAAATACAAAGCTGAATCCTGAATGGGAATTGAAATTTGTTAAATTCCGCTGTGCATGTTTAAGTAAATTCCCAACAGGGTGAAGCAAACGAGCCAATCTTTCAATCCAAGATCAAACAATTACGGCAATATTGTGCTTCATAAGGCTTACTTAGGTGTTGCTTCAGTCTTAGTTGAAGATTTTTATTTCTGCTATAGATATTATAGAATTTTTGAAATCACAAATGAATCTTTTTTAATATGATGTCAACTGGGCTAGAAAATAATCGGCACTCAAGCATTCAGCTAAAAGAATAATAGGATCTCTTCCAGGTACTATGGACAAGACAACCACAATAGGAGGACGATAGTCTTTATGTCCGGAATAAGATGGAAAAATGTATACAAATTCTCTCGATTGCACCAAAAGCCAATGAGGGTGTAAGTTTTGTCACAGTCCAGATTCTGATGATCTGGAGTCAAAACACTAGAAGTTCAGTGTCAATCTTTTCCTTACACACATTTGGAGTCTCAAGCCCCTGTTTGGTAGAAGATAAAATTCAGATTTTAATCTAAGTCAAAGTCAACAACTAATTTGAACCATACATTTTATGGGACCCACAACTTTTCAACCACTCTTTCAACAACTTTTATCAAATCTACTTTGTGATCTCACCTCAAAGGATGATGTGGTCTGTGGGTTTCTTGGAAATAATTCTTATGTATCCTTCATATTTGTTTGCAATTGTTAGTTGTTTCTTTTTAATTATATTTTGTTCTCTTTTCCCCACGTGGCCTACTCTTAATTTTATCACATAGATTTCCTAACAACACGACAATGACAATGTAATGAAGACACCTCTACACCTCTGAAGAATGAAACTTCTTTATTTCTCTATAAATATTACATATCTAATACAACCTATTTATATTACAAAGCATGGCATGAAAAATGAAAAATTCTATCTGTTAAATAAGGAAATAAATCATCCAACTAATAATCCTATCAATTACAATTTTCTTTTTGTCTTTCCATAATCGGTTTTCTATACTTCCCCTCATGTTGAACTGTAGATGTTAATCATGTTCAACTTGTATCTAAAGTTGTCAAGAATTGTTTTGGCAATCCTTTAGTGAAGATATCTGCAATTTTCTCTTTTTTAGGGGCATATGTCATACTGATAATTCCATCTTCAACTTTCTTTTTGATAAAATGTCTATCCACCTCTACATATTTAGTTCTATAATGTTACATTGAATTGAGAGAAATTTTGATGGCCGCTTTGTTATCACAATAGAGTTTGATTGAAAATTCAACCTCGACATTTAGTTCTTCTAAGAGTTTCTTTATCCATAGTCCTTTACATATCCCTTGTGCAACAGCTCTAAATTCAGCTTCAGTACTAATTCTCACCACTACATTATTTTTCTTACTTCTCCAAGTTATCAAATTTTCCGTGACAAAAGTATAGTAGCCACTAGTAGATCTTCTGTCTTCTATCGATCCATCCCAATCTGCGTCTGTGAATATTTCTACTTCTTTTTTTTATTTTTTTCAACGAACAGTCCCTTCCCAAGGGTGCCTTTTAGATATCTTAATATTTTGTACACAACCTCCAGGTGAGTTTCTTTGGGAGAGTACATATGGTGACTCACCAGCTGACTGTGAAGGCGATGTCAGATCTAGTGTGTGATAGGTAGATTAACTTTCCAACAACTCTTTGATATCTGTCTGTTTCCACTGAGTTACCAAAGTCTTTTATTATTTTCTACCCTCAATAGGTATGTCGCTTGGTTTGCATTTTAGCATTCCAGTTTCAGTTAACAGGTCAAGAATATATTTTCTTTGAGAGACACTAACACCCTTCTTTGTTCTTGCAATCTCCATTCCTAAGAAGTATAGCATCTATCCTAAGTCCTTCACTTCGAATTCGGTGGCTAAGCATTTCTTTAGTCTTTCCATTTCGGTTGTGTTTTCCCCAATTAAGATGATATCATCGACATATACAATTAGAATTGTCTTTGCCCCATCTTTAGAATGTTGGAAGAACAAGGTATGATCTGATTGCCTTTGCTGATATTCTTGATCTTTTAATACTTTTGCAAATCTGTCGAATCACGCTCTTGGTTATTGTTTGAGACCATATAGAAATTTCTTGAGTCTACACACTTGTTTTTCTTCATCCTCTTCATTGAAGCCTGGTGGTATTGTCTGAACACTTCTTCTTCTAGCTTTCCATTCAAGAATGCATTCTTGATGTCTAGCTATTGAAGTGGCCAATCTAGATTACGACTAAGGAAAACAGAACTTAGACTGTATTTAGTTTTGCCACCAATGCAAATGTTTCTGTGTAGTCGATGCCATAAGTTTAAGTATATCATTTGATGACCAGACGAGCTTTGTAGCGATCTATTGTCCCATCAGCTTTATATTTCACATTAAAAACCTAATTACAGCCTACAGGCCTCTTTTCTTTCGGTAAGTTTACCATTTCCCATGTTCCATTCCTTTTTAAAGCTCTCATTTCCTCCATTACTACTCTCTCCATTTGTGTGATTCCAAGGCATCCAAAATATTTTTTGGGATTTTTGTTTCATCAAGGTTAGCCGTAAAAGCACGAAACCCTATAGAAAGAGTTTTATAAGACGTGAATTTTGAAATAGGATGTAGAATACAAGACCGAATTTGTTTTCTGAGAGCAATGGATAAATCATTCGGGGATTTAGATTCTTTGGAGGGGTTCTCATCAGGTCCTATCACCGGTTCCAACTCTCTTGGTGCCTCTGGTGTGAGATTTTCCTTGTATTTCAATTTAGGCTTCCTTGAGTAAACTAGAGTCTTCTTGTCATTTCGTTTGAGAACTCCCGATCCAAGAACCAATCTTCACTTTGATTCTCCTCCTAAAGGGAAGGTTTTTGGAAGTAGAGTGTTTTTTCAAAGAAGGTGATATCTTGGTTGACAAACACTTTTTTTTGTGGATGGGTCATAGCATTTTGTAGCCTTTTGAGTGGTTGAGTATCCAATGAACGCACACTTGATTGCACGTGGTTCTAGTTTGTTTCTATGATGGGAGTGGATGTGTACGAAAGGTAGTGTTTCCAAACACTCTTAGGGTGCGTTTGATTGCAAGTAGGAAAATTGTATGGAAAGAAAATATTTTTCAGGTAATTCAATTGCCTGGAAATTATTTACATGGAAAATGTTAATTACACATGTTTGATTGACTTAAACTTCAACCTAGAAAATGTTATAATTTTTCAACTTTAGGTGTTTGATAGCCATTATTTTCCATGGAAATTGTTATTTTTTCCAATTTTATCTGTTTGACAAGCACTATTTTCCATGGAAATTGTCACTTTTTCCATGGAAAATATTGGATTTTTTTCATGAAAATTTGTCAATGAATGTTCCAACTCTTAAACAAATTATAGACATAAATTCGGCCAAATCCTAATCAATCCTAATTAATATAGCAGTTAATTTATGGATAAAGACATGCCAAGATTCGGTACGAAAGATGCATAAACACTATCGAGATGAAATAACCAATTCAGATTACTACTAGTTAAATATTCTTCTTTGCAATCAAAAATAATAATCAAATAATCAATTCAATAAATAATGATGAAATTTTGTCTAACGTATTACATAAAACGAAAATGAAAAAACCCGTAAAATCTCTATCATAAGAAAATAGGAAATAAAATCAACATAGATGTCATACTTTCACATATGTTTATTGAATTATCCAAGCACATCATCTTAAAATAGTAGAGGCGAATCACGGCCCAGAATATCAAATACTAAATCACGCATGAATTCTTCATCAGTCAAACTTATAAATACTCTAGCCAGACTCTCATCCGATCGAAAATTTTTCATTACTTGCATTATGTCACTCTTTTCTATACTCATGCCTTGTAATTTTTCTAGAACCAACTGCCAATTGATGTGGTTTAGTGTATCTAATGTTGCTTGAGTCTCCATAGCATTAGCAATTTTTTTAGATGATTCGGCAATACTTGATAGGGCAACGAGACTCTCATCATTAGGTTGGGTAGGTCGACGGCAAACTTTGTTAGTTCCTCCTTCAGCATTACGCTTAGGAGCGCGAATGGGACTTGGTTCAGTATCCTCATTTTGACCATCAACTTCATGCACATTTTCATCTAAAAAAATTAATAAAATAAGAATTTGTTAGAATCTCTAATATAATACGAATTGTACAAATTTTTATGTACGATCTAGTACGTACCATGTTCGGGGGATAAAATGTCATTGCCGGCTACAACACGATCTCCTGTAGCAGAATCATTTCCAAAGATAGCCTCCAAATCATCATAACGAGCACAAAGTTTGGTCCTCCACTTTCCAAATTCTGGTTTGCCCTACAAGAAAAAGAGTCAAGTATGTTTTACGCTACTCAGTTGTCAAAATAAATTATATTACTAATATTTAAGGAATAATACTTTCGTTGGTCAATGAAATTTTGTACCTTCAACAACTCCTCCCAAGCTAGTACATCGGCTGTGACACGTCCAGTATGAGGATCTAACCCAAAACCACTCATACTTAACAACTGACGAACTTCAACATATTCTTTTTTCAGAGTTTTCAATCGTGCCCTCACATTCTTATCAAACACCACGACTCCGCATCCATTGTACACGCTCTCGATTGCTTTGGACACGTGATATGATGAAAAGCCATTGTCACTTCTTTTGTGACTAGCCAGCACTTGATGTAGTAGTGCAGTTACCATACAACCATCCATTGCATCACTCCAACGTATTTGACGATTCCTAGAATTAGGATCCGCTTGGGTTGAGCTTATTTCCTCAACATCTGAATGGAGGGTTGGTCTAGGAACTCGATAAGAAGCCGTAGAGCTTTGTCGAATATTTGCCATGATATCTATAGTGCAAGATTAATAAATAAGAACATTTAACAAAATTACATGTCAACAATTTATCTCCAATAACAGCAATTCAAATTACAATATTTAAAATTCTAGCAAGTTTATGTCAACTATTATAGGACATGAAAAAAAAAACAAAAAATATGCTTTATGTCAATACGTCTTCAATTCAAGTAATTACTACAGATGAAAGTCTAGTAAGTATATATCCATTACATAAAAAGAAAAAAAATAAAAAAAATGCCACAAGAAAAAAAAGGAAAAAAATCAGATTTCAAGCAAAATCAATTCCCGCATTCTGATTGGGAAGATAATTAGCCCACATTAAATCAGCAATCGCATTCCTCTTATTAGACCACACTTCCTAATTTGTGAAAGATATGTTAGCATTTGGAGTTTCATCTTCAGGTACATCAACATGCGTAGGGTTAACCTCATCATCACTACTATCTAAGTCGTCCTCCTCACAAACATCTTCAATGTCATCAATCCTTAAGAAGTTGTGGATGGCAGAACAGGCAAGGACTATCTTTGCTTGTGTGTCAATGTCGTGATAGGGTTGATGTTTCAAATATGCAAATCTTTTTTTTAGCAAACCAATTGTATGCTCAATAACATTATGTAGAGATGAATGTCGAAAATTGAACTCCTTACTACTTTTAGGACGTTGACCTTCAATGTCTCTACGATGATAACGAGTCCTACGATATGGTGCAAGAAAACCTAAAATCGATGGGAAGCCAACATCAACAGGATAATATTTACCTACGAAAGAGTCATTCATAAGATGGTAATTAGGTAATTATTATAACTTATGTGTGGAAGAAATGTTTTCAAAATAGTGACACAACTTACCAACAGGAATTGTTAGCTTATGTCCTTGACGTAATATTGCACTCCGTAACAATCGACCATCATGTGTGGATCCCTCCCAACCGGCAAGCACATAAGTAAATTTCATATCAAATGTGCAAGCTACTAAAACATTTTGGGAGATCACTTGCTTTCTATTGCGATATTTACCTTGCTCCTCTAAAGGCACATACACAGCAATATGTGTACCATCGATTGCTCCTACGGTATCCTTTAAAAAAGAATACTTTTCAAAATAAATGTGTATATTGAAGTTTTAAGAAATATGACGAAATAACTACAAACCACTAACCTGGAAAAAGGAGTACCATGGCTGCACATTTTCTTTTTTGTATGGTGAGTTATGAGGAGTGGCATTAGTCACAACATCTCTATACAGTCTAAGACAAGCGTGTAAGACTCTATGAAAATAAAAGCTCACTGTTTGACCAGAGCAAAAGAAAGTAAAACATCCAGCGCGATTACGTTGGTCATGCCAGATTGTATTCAAAAAAATTGCGACTTGTTCCTTAATTCGAACGTATTTCCTATCAACCAATCCATAAGTTCGCAAACAAGCATGTAATCTTTGAAATGGACCTATTTTCATCCTAAGGAGATCACGACATATTGTATCACTCGTGCTAAACATTCGTGTAAGTGTTATTTCTCTTTCAGAATTCCAATTTGTATAAGGAGCTCTTGGAAGACGTCGTGCACGACACCTAAGTTCATTATATATCACAATCGCTTCAATGACCATCGTCCAAAATAAACCTAAATGCTGTCATCGGCATCGACGTTGATTCGTTGTTGTAGCCATGCTATAAACTACCATGGTAAATAAAAATTCAATGTAAAATTAAAACAATGTTTGAATTTGTATATTTAAATGTCCAAAATCACACACATATATATCTAGTTAATTGCTCCAATGAGATACTACGACTTTTTCAGAGAAAAGTAAGAAAATATCACTTTTCACATTCTCATTTTTATAAACACCTTGAATTTATCAATTGAATCTAGCAGGAGAAAAAAAATGATTTATTTAAAGAGAGTATTGGTTATTGTCATGCTGCTAAATGACACAACTCGAGAAGAAAAAAAAAGGAAAATGTAAGCACATTGCATAGATTCTGATAATTAGATCACTAAAAGTGTGAAATTAATGTTTTATAATGACATCTTGATTAACTAATCGAATTATTTTGGGATGTTTTAGTTATAATGACAGGTTTGGAATATTTTTCTCATTTTTCCAACATAACTTAAATTGATTTATGATTTCATTATGAGTTTTTTTTTTCTTTAACCAATTAATCATACATACACGGTTGATGCTGCTTCATGATTCTCATAATAATGATGGAATCAAGAGCTTCTTCCAACAGGTCCATGAGCTATATATAAAGGTAATCTTTATTATGCTTGTCAAAATGTATTCCTACCCTATTGAAGTTTTTTAGATTGGGCTTGTTTGATATCCCCCCCCTCCCCGGGGCTGTGGCCGCATTAGTACTGAAAACTATACTGGCTTGTTCCTTTCTTGGTATTAAAATATTTCATTTCAAAGATTCAAGAATTATCTCGAGGAATTCTTATTGTTAAAATTTTTTATGACCCTTGTTGAGGGGTTTCCTTAAATGAAAATTCATTTCCACTGCTGGATGCTGAACCAGAGTTTTCCACTATCAGGCTTTACTTTGGACACTTTTCTCTTCCTATATTTGCCCTTTGCTCGATATTTAATGTCACATTTAGCCTGTTAATTTACATTCAAGATGAACAAAGCCTCCCGTGTGTTATTTACCCTCCTCTGTTGATTTGTAGGCAATTCTCTATTTCATCTCCAAGATTCTCTGGAAACCTCCCCTACAACCTTCCATATTTTCTCCACAAAAAGATATTCACAATCGTGTGCATATCATTTGTAAATATTTTCTTGTTTCCTGATGATCCCACGTTGAATTTACTACTAAACAAACATATCTGGGAAACTTTTTGGAGGTTTTGATAACAAAATTGTGCAGTGTGTCACCTTGTGTGTAAATTTTTTCTATTCTTAGTCCCGCTTCAAGCTTGCTTACTATAACTTTCAGCCTAGTCTGATAAATTGAAAACTACAACTGATATGTCCTATCCAAGGAAAAAATTTAGATAAACTTGACAGCTTTTGTACTCTATTCTCTTGCAATAATTTTAATTTATTGTTGGCACAAAATCAATACTTGTTAAATTGCTATTTCTGCTACTGTAAAATTCAACTAGCAGAATTTTTTAGCTAACGTGAGAAACATGTTAGTTCCTAAGCATGTCAAATTATTGCGATACTATATCTTCAATCTTTAAGCTGCTGTCATTCACAAATGCAGAGTTCTGGAACATAGGGAGCCAAAAGATTAGTTGAGGGTGATTTTGATACAGCTTCTGGTGAAATAGCTGATAGAACTTTCCATCAAGACCCATTGCACACACAGGATGCCAAAAGACAAAAAAACAAGATTATGGGTTGTCTAAATCAGTTGGTTAAGGATTAGCGTCTCCTTCTGACAACACAGCAGTTTCCAACATTAATGGGAAACCCCGTGATGCACCGAACATAGACAGAATTGCTTGCTCCTTCTGTCATTCTTCTAAGCAGACAGAAGTAAGTTTCAACATAAATAATGTCTCTTATATTTTCATCGTTATGCAAGTCTTATGCTATCAACTTTTTGTTGTTGCCATAAATGTTTGTATAAGTCTTTGTTTCTTTGAACTAATTTATTTTTTCCTACATATTGCAGTGGACAGGACCAATGCTTTACTATGCCAAGGGAAAGGAAGTAGTAGGAGATGTTGCTGCTCTATTATGCACTCTTCATCTGTTGATGTCAAATCCTAATCTCGGTTTCTCTGAGCTTTATACATCATAAAACAAACATGCAGGAGGATTTCTAATGCTCTGTCCAACTCACGACTCTGCTAAATTCCCAAGAGAAAAATCCATGTATGTTCTCACATGGTAGAAAAACAACTTAAATTCTAACACTAATTCTATCAGTAGCTCCACCTTGTAGAACCCAATTTTTCTCTCCCTATAATCCTCATAAAAGACAACCAATTTCCACACATTCATCAGAATTGCACTGCCTAAACATCTTTAGAGTATCACTGGAATAATGTGCGTTTGATAAATAATGACTCATACATCACAGAAACAGAATTGGGGGTGATTATAGATGAGAAAAATTCTGGAATTCATGTTCCATTCGGCATCCAATCACGTGGAATCTCAAAATCAAGAAAAACAGAAACAAAATTGGAATCTGCAACTTGAAATAATGAAGACCCATGAAAAAATGAACCTAATAATTTTTAAACAGAGAGAATCGACAAAACTGAAGCATTAAGAATATGGTGGTTTGATTGTTAAACTAACCTCAATCTATGCAGTCACCGTCTCGTTGCTAACCTTTCGCAGTGATTTCTCCGGAGGCAAATCGTCGATTTCTTCTTCCTAGTTCGGTTGACTCGATGAGAGAGTGAGATGCCTTCCTAGTTCCTTTCAATCGATGCGAGAAGGTTGAATGGATGAGAGAGATGGTACGTTGGTAGAGATGTGAGAGAGAGAGATATTCACGTGGGTTGGTTACTAGAATTTTTGGAAGGGTTAAATTCCATGGAAAATAAAATCCACCCTATTCCAAGGAAAATATTTTCCTTGTTTTTAAGGAAAATGTGGTCACGTGACCAAAACAAGGAAAATATTTTCCTTGGAAAAAATTGTCAATCAAACAAGACAAAAGTAGGAAATTAGGTGGAAAAAACCCATTTTCCATGGAAAATGTGTGCAATCAAACGCACCCTTAGGGTAGGTT